ATATATGGCTCGCGAGCCATGGGTTGCCGACCCCTGGTCTAGACGTTTCCTTTATTAACCAGTAGGTATGCTCACATGTTTTTTTGATGCACAGGCTTCCTTTTCACCTATAATTTTATTGAAGTAAAGCAATTACAAGTGTTACTAATTTCTTTTCTACCGTGCACTCACCGCACATTAACCACGTATCACGCGTTTATTAATTAAGCATTAAACCTTTGATCACGAATTCTGTAAGACACTTGGACGAGGTATTTTATTTAGCCTTACGAAATTTTACTTTGTAAAAACTGCGCAATGTTCAGTTATACATAATTATGCATTATGCGCTAGTATGGAGGTGTTGTGTAGGGCCCATAAGTTTTTGCGGTGTATACGGACCATGTTGCATAATTCACAGGGATCTTTAATAACCCTATAAGTGCTGGAATGCACACTTAGAGGTCTTAAGAAATCTCATAATTCCGTACTTTTTGCAGCCGAAACCTGTAAAAAAACTGTAAACTGTAGAAAAAAATTTACATCCCTTAAATTCCAGGAACTGTTGTTTTTTGGCACATTACCATATTAGCACTTCTCACTCTTTCGCACAGGTCATTCACATGGAAGCAACTGCCGATGATATATTTGTACCCGAGAATGACAACCAGCCAATAATCAATCCGTTCACCCGGCTCTGCCTGGTTGGTTCGTCCAGTTTGGCCTCATTTTCAGGTAAGTGTGTACCTCTCCTGGGATTTTTTTGTCACTTTCCACATTGACGCGCATCATATTGCTCCGCTTTGAGTCATTGCAGCTATTACTGCTCAGGCGAGAAAATCCAAACCTTTTTACCTCCATGAGCCAACTTGTCATTAAAGGTAAACCAAAAAGGCGAAAACCGCCGACCTCTTTCTGTGGATAATTTTACTTATTTGATGACCTCCATTATATCATTTGAACTTGTGTGAGTTGCGAATCGCCTTCGTTGTGGTCTGGTCCCTGTAGAGTTCGAAGTATGTCGGTTAACGTGGACGGCCAATGCGCTCAAAACCGTTCACCCGCACACTGTTGTGTGCTGAGTATAAGTGAGCTCAAGCTTACTGGACCACTTCTTGGGTCAATGGTGGGTGTGGCCGCTTATGACAGGCTAACTGTCATGATCCTATGCTATTATTTATATGGCCTCGACTGATGAGACACAGGTGCAGAAGGGGTAAATCTTCCCGTATCCTAACTCAAACTTTAACGGCGACCTTACTATCAGTGCTAAACTTCTCCTTAATCCTATCCGTACTTAGAACTTAAATGCTAATGTTAATCTACCGGCGTATTACCGGTGGTTTCAGTTAACATATCCTCTCGTGGAGGCCATAATGTAAGGAATTTCTACTCATATCATATCCATTATCGTAGTCCCAATTGCTAGCCTTGAGAAAGTCGGTTCAAATGGAGTTCAAAGCTTCCAGTTAGCTCCTGGTTTCTGATAATGCGCAGTGATCTGCCGTGCGATGTTACTCTGAACCCGTCTTCCTATTCCAATTGCCTTCTTGAGGGCTATTTAGATCCGGAAATTTTACTCCATCACACGGCGCTTGACGCACTAGTGGTGGGGAACCCGAAGCAGGGTTTGTCTTTTTTATTCACAGGTGCCCTCCCTCGGTTAGGCCTCTTACTGACCCTGACAGAAGCACAGAGACAATTAGATGAGAAATGGGAGCCATCTAACCGATTTTTCACCAGTCTTTGTGACGGGGCCGGTTGATGTGCATTTGCGCAGGACAAAATT